ATTATGAAGAGACCTCATGTAGCCAACGCAGCCCTCCTTAGTTTGCCCCTAGGAATAAAAGCCTCAATACCCTAAAGTTCGTCCCCTTCAAGACTCCCCGCACAACGATGCCCTACCCGACGACATCAGCGCCGCAGTATGCACTATGAGAGATATCATCTGAACAATCGACACCATCCACAGAGATTCTTCTTGAACAGCAAAGTTCTTGTTCGCTGTAGATGTCGTCTACCATGCTGGAAAAGGGGAGGGGGGTCTCATACTAAGAGTACTAACTCATATAGAGTTGCAGGAGAAACCTCCGAATTACGGACTGCAGCAGCAACACGCCCACTCGTCCGTGATTGGCTACCACCACACGAATTACTGTGTGCAGACACGAGCCAGCCAGTCATAGACTAGTGGGCGTGCCGGCAGCATATGCTGCCGACACTGCTGCGGCCCGTAACTCGGTGGTTTCTCCTGCACGTTTATCTGAAAACGCGGTAAATGTCATTACATATAAATGGCCTTGTCTTCAAACATCTTAGAAATAGAGAGAAAAGGAGTCTTTCAACCTTAGACTACGATGGCAGAAGTTGCTGCTGCTCCGTTCTTTAACACCTCCCACTTTTCCTACAGATCATCACAAAAGGTGTTGGTAACAAACAAAAATGAATAACAATCGATTCATATCGAGTGTCTCGAACATCGTACACCACTGAAGGCTGAGAAAAGTTTATCAAAATCGATCAATAAATCAATAGAATCAATATAGGAGATCAATAGAATGGGCACAGATGGCAGTGAGCATTGAACATGACTAGACGAATGTTAGTTGAACCAGTGATGGCCACAGCGTTTTCATGTGCGCAATGGTTCGGCCACGATGTCCAATTAGGCCGTTTGTTTTGTACGTACGAAAATTTTGTATTTTCTTTGCATCAACATCTTCTCTGAAACACACCCACTCATTGATTGGTTTTATCGATCAAAAATAGAAACAGAAAACTAATCAATACCCGTTAATTCGATGATCTATTAGACGATCCGGAAGAGTTAGCGATTTCAGATTTTGCATACAATACGACAACGATTCAAGATCATCACAGCTAACTATACAACCATCGAACGACATCGTAATCACACCGGCAAACAGCGAACATGCATCAAGGCGATTTCTCTGGAAAAACGGTCAAACGTAAAATTCGATAGTAGGAACTTGTCAAATCTTCCTTAGAGTGCGCCACGAATGCCTCGAGACCACAACGGTTTTAGCACCCGTTAAAGTTTTCTTCAAATAACACGTGAACGTTGCTCCTACTGTGGTGGACACTTCCGCCTAATAGAAAGCTAGCGCGATTCGCCCTAGGTACTACTCCAATCTGCGTGTGGATTCTAGGCAATCACATCAATCTCCTCTCATAGGCGTCATGAAGTTGTTGATATACAAGATCGGGCTCCACATTTTTGAATTAGCACTATTTTGAGACAGGATCCCCTGCGAGGAATTTTTCACTCGCAAAGCACTGAAAGATTCGAAGGGAATTATTTAGACCATTGAAAACTCAAATGTACAGGGTGGGCCAAAATTATAAGGACAAAGACATTAAAGGATAAAGGATAAAGCATTTGCCGTTGATCAATCCCTTTTTGGGATGCGGTTCTACTTCCATTTGTACATTCGTAGTGGCGTTTGAATGCGATGTGGCCTATACAATGACTTGCGGGGGCCAGCCGATGTACAAGTCAGTGTTTTTATCCT